TTTTGTAAAATATGTATTTATGAGAACTGAATCTTGTACAACCAATACGGCCGAGCTTTCTCTGGCTCTACTTGCAGCGCATGTTCTTCCCTCGTGCTACTTTTGCAGCTGCTATTACTCATTACCTCTTCCTGCTATTACTTTTGTGCTACTTTAACTTTGATCAATTGCATTATTTGTTAATTAATTAATTGTTTATACTGGCGAAGTCAGACTTGACATTTTAATTTTGTTGATTTTATCTTTTCCTCTTTTTCATTTGCCGTCCACCATAACCGTTCACGGGAGAGTATAGTAAACTTTTAACTGTGATGGACGAATACGAATTTCAAGTTGATGGAATACAGTTTCATTTGTGCAGGGATTCCTTTCATGAGTTTTGAATTAGAGAATATTCTGGTCAGAAGACGCAATGAATGAAAAATATCGAATATTGCAAACGACACATGACTCACTTCAATTGTCTCGAGCGTCTCTGCGATTTTCTCGTTTTTTTTTTTTTATTTTCCGTAGTTTTGTTGCAATAAAGGGTCGTGACTGACGACCGGGGGAACGCGCTCAACCTTCTGCCACATTTGAGGCTAACTCGCGTCTTCTCGAGTGTCCGTTGTTTTCCCTATTATATGTGTGTTTTTCTATTAGGTTTGTGCCAGTTTATTTCTCAATGTCATTGACAGATTTTTTTGCTCATATTTCCATTTTTACCGCAGTCATCGTTAAATGCATCACAGATGAAGTTGTGTGCAGATTTTAAGCTTTCCATTCATTTTAATTTTTTTACTTGGACTCTAATCTTGTCTCATTAGTAAGCATCTAAGTTTCAGAAATTTCTAAGTTTTCTATCTCTTGATTACTAAATTCATTGTTTTTGACTGTATCACGTATTTTTCACTATTGTTTAGCAGTTGTATCGTGCACAAAGCGTTATTTGCCCTGTTTTCAGTAGTGTTATCATGAAGCAGTTCGTGAATGCAATATGACACAGCCGGCAACACGGCTGTTATTGAGCTCTTCTGGCCTCAAGGAATGTATTGCAAGACTGCCAATTCCACGCTTCTTGCATTGCTCGAATGACTCTGGTGGAATTCTCCCTAAATTATGTTTACCGCGCTCGGGAATACACGAAGATTCTCGACGCATTACCGAATTGAAAGTAGGCTCACATTCTTGCTATTCTGGCGGCGCGTTTCTGAGCTTTATTTGACTCGTGGCTGATGCTTGACATGCTGTCGAGAGTGAGCGTTATTTCTTAGCATCTGAAATGTGATCTCTTGGGAGACGAGCTTTTTTATGCGCCACTGTGTTGTTGGAGCAGCCTTGTACCGCATGCACAATAGATATTTCAATAAAAAAAAATCGCCCTCTAGTGTACTGAAATTTATAGTCTCTGCATTCCAAGTGAATTAGAATTTATACAATTTGCGCAGTAAGTGAATTGTAATCGTTGCGTTCTGTACTGAAATTTTAAAATTGGGTTTTAGCCTATGGGTCGGCGGAAATCTCGTAGCAAGTTGTTCCATCAGCGTGTAAACCAACATGCCTCTTTTTAGAGCAACAATTTAAATTACAACAATTCGGAGTTTGAAGGAGGGTGTAATCTATAAGCCTTTATTTGCGCAGAATTTTCGAAATTTCCGTTTGTAGAATTGTCGTAGAAATTTTGTTGTAGAATTGTTGTTTCATATTGGGCATGAGTTGGCATATTAAATCTCTACCAATGAACTAATTAGTAGAAACAATTCCTTCCAAACCTTTATCTAACATGCAATATATCATTATCCGTGTAAGCCACATTATCATTACATGAATATGCTCATTCTCTTCACTAGGTTGGTATTGCATTAGTTGTCGTTCTTACACTAATATTTTTAATGACTTGTATGCCTCTATAGATTACATAAATGTATCTGTTTCATGTAACAGATTACCTGCATGTCACACAATTTTTGAATCTATTGTGTATTGCGTTTATTCCTATAAGTGTAAAGCATGCAAACTCGAATGACGAAAAACACCTATAAACGAATCTGCTTGACTACGGAAAATACTAATCCAGCAAAATACCCTGCCAAATTAATATGTTTCGAACGCACTCTTAGCAACACTATCATCGTTTGGAGGCCCCATACAGCGTACGACATCCACCTTGTAGTATAGACAGAATGGGGCGGGATGGCGGGAGCTAATGATGAGCGGTGTTGTGGCGCTGGGTGTTGTGTTCCGGCTTGTCCTGGGACTTTTTCATGTTCTTGTCTCGCTAAGCTGCGCTTACCTCGGCTCGTGTTACTGCAACTCTGGCCTCTCTCACCCTACTCAGCTGCCTCACCTCAACCTACTCAGCTGCCTCTCTCACCCTACTCAGCTGCCTCTCTCACCCTACTCAGCTGCCTCTCTCACCCTACTCAGCTGCCTCTCTCACCCTACTCAGCTGCCTCACCTCAACCTGCCTTCGGTGCCCGATTCTTCTTCGTGTCCTGATAGGTTTTTACTAGGAAAACACTCTCATCGCATTATTAAATTAGGCATTTTGCGTATAAAAGCACTTAATTGTTGTATTTGTTTAAATGGCATATAGAGAACGTCGAGCTGTTCTTGGGACGTGTTATCTATCTTGTTAAGTCTGTTTTTTTTTTTAATTTTGGAATTTCTGTAAATCGTCTTGATGTCATGCTATTTGGTGTGCTAGGACATTTGTTAGAATATTCATTTGAGTCCATGTCGCATGCCGTTTTGAAATTGAAATCTACCAATGTCTTACCTTATAATTATCTGAAATTTCTTACTATTAGCTGAAAATTACTATTTTAAACTGTACGTCCTTATGTTCATGTTAATTTACTATCGTACATGACGACATTTCAAAGTACGTCAGTAGTTTGACGTTGCACTAATTGCCAATTATTTTGTCAACATTTGTAGAAATAGCTTATCATGGAATCGAATGTAGCTAGCAAGGGTTTAATCTATACAATTCTCTGGGAATTCGCTATGCGAGTTCGTGTGGTGGTTGAGCGACTGGCGCTTCAAAGTGAATGCCCCATGGGGTCAAACAGTTAATTTTGCGCTGCTCCGCTTATATAGTGAAGGCTGTCGTAGGCATTAAATTCTTATCTACATGTAAAGGGGTTGGACAAGATAAGTTAAATCGAATTGTGAAGGACAATTGAAAGACCACGGCTGTTAAAATTACTGCAGACCTCGATGGACACATACAGAACCCAGTTTCCACAACCTATAACCTATAAATGGTAAATTGTTTATGGAAGAGCTGCAATTAGAAAATATCTGGTTTAAAATACAAAGCTTCAAAGTGTTTAAAGTGGTGTAAAAACCACCAGAATTGGTCTCTAGTACCCAATTGGTCGAGTACCCCTGGACATGGATGAGGCAATTGTTCTGATTATCACTAATAATATCACTAATAATTAGTTAATTACTCAACTTTCAAATTATTACTTAAAGAGAACAAAATTGCTCGCCATGATCATAGCTTTCCGAGGGGCAATCTAAGTTATTTATCATAATTAATCCATTGAGATTGTTTCTATTAAAAATATATTCTTTATTTTACCTTGATGACTGAATCACCATTGATGCTTTTGGGATTCGATTTGGCGCTGGAACATTGAAGCAATAGAGCCCTTTATTGCATCTACTGCTGTAACAATGCAACAAGTCGTGTAACAATGTAAACTTGTGATTTGAACGGATCAGAACACATATGAACATGGCCACTGGCACAGGTGAGAGCAGACGATTGACTGGTTCCGCTATCGAAAATATGGCCTCAAGAAGTGCTTTTGTGGAGAACCATTTGGCCAGTTCACTTTGAATTTATACAATTTATTCATGCAGACCCTAAATTCTTATTACTTAATTATTACTAGTCTACGTCAATTATGGTGTGGGAACCACAACAGGTGAGTTGCGTACCTATCTACATTTTAGTTGAAATTCGTTTTAGAATTGAAAAGATAACTATAAATTATTGTTGTATTTAACCATGTTAAGTATTATATATATAACAACTTAATTAGGGCGCTGCTCTTTCGTTCGTTATTTTCTGCAAGCATTTAACCCATTAGGCCGTGTGACGACTTTCATCTTTTTTAACTAAAAACATATTCGAAATTTTAATATTAATCGCATTTCATGGACTTCGTGCAGCGTAGCTTCTGCTCGTTACATCGTATGTAAAAGCCGTGTTGCCTATTAACTTCGTTTTCTGAATATACATGGGTTTAGGTAATACTGTGCAGCAGTCTTTCATTTGATGCCTACCTTTTCTAATATATACACATTTATCGGTGTCTCGCTCATGTATCGAAAAAATACAGTGCTTCATCGATTTGCTCCCTCCCGCCAGTGCGAAAAATCTCGTCGTTTTAATTTGGAGCTTCCTTGAAGTTCGTAGAGTGAAGTTCGCCCGGAATTCTGTCGATAGAATCTTTGCGCATCGCATGCGCTCAAAAAACGACTCCTGAGAAACTTTTCCAGCTTCGATTCTCCTTTGATTGTCTACCAATCGAAACATCTGTATTCTGTGTAGCTGAATTCGTTGGCCCTACAGACTTTTTTCGATTGTCACGTAGATCTCCGAAGAAACTCTCTGCACGTATCTCTTTCCGTGCCGATTTGTGACTTTTCATTTATTCTTAAAACGTGAATTTATGTAGTCAGAAATTTAATTTTGCAGTATTTTATTTTTGATAAGGATTCTTTTTGATAAGGATATCATTCGTTTTTACTCCTCTGCTCTTTATGTTATCAAATCTTGTTTATATAGATTATGTTACATTGATTCGCGTTCACTCTGATATGTTATTAAATCTTGTATAGATAATGTTACAATGATGCCCGTTCACTCTGATCACCAACATTTTTGTTTGTGTTCATCGCGGTTATCATTGATCTCATATTTCCTGGGATAAGAAGAGCGCTGTTTTCTCATGTTGTTTATCGCTCACTTTTTCAATGCCATTTATTTTTGTTCATTACAGGAGCAAAGCCACAAGTCTTATCGGCCGCTGTGTGTGCTGACGTTTCGCCTGAACTACCTCGCGCACGCCCTACAGCCCATGGGCTACCATCTCGTCAACATGCTCCTCCACGCTGTCGTCTGTGGACTCTATTACAGGTATACTCAATCATGACCCATTAATTCTTCAATTTATTCCACTACATATATGTGTTTATATATATCACTTTACTCTTATATTTATTTCTGTTTTCTGAAGACACATCAAGACATAGTCTAAGATTTTTTTTGTGTTACTGTATCAAGTTTGGGTACGCTGTCGCGTGGCAGTCGCGTGTTGCGCATGCTTTTTTTGACGTGTATTTGTGTCAGTAATATTCACAAGTCGAACTGTTATGTAGGTTTGCGTTTTATTGCCGTCGTTGGATCTAATTTCCATTAAAACTTTACCTTTCTTGCTATTTGTAACCATGCATCACTGAATCATCTTATGCTCTCAAGACAGGCTCTGTCTCAACGCAGAGCTTGGTAAGGCAATTACAGGAATAAGTAGCAATGCTGCTACGCTTGTTAGAACTCATTTACCGCTTTAATTCCTGGGCATCGCGTTCATCCTCCCTATTTATCCAAGGTTTCATGTAAATGCGAAGTGCGTTATTCAGCGGTGGCTCCATCAAGACCTCATTGCGCTTGCAACGGATCCCACTACTGCATGTTCTTGATAGTTAAAATTTAAATTGAAGTAAATTTTCAATAAATAGATCGAACCACTTAAATATTAGTTATTTCATTTTCAATATGATGGTTACATGGAAGGTACTTCACATATTTTAGGAAGTCAGCTAATCTCGTGCACAAATTGTTCTACTGTGAATGCTAAGCGCCGTTTTAGATCTCTTGCGTCCAGCACGAGCATTGAAGATTCGAAAGCTGTAGAGCTGGTTGAATGCTTCTCTGAAGCTTACATGACAGTGTCTATTGATTTACTAGATTGCACTGTCAATAGAATGCTGTGCAATCATCAATACAATGGCGAAGTTTGCTAATTACGATGCAAAACAACGGAGAGGTGGCGGGTGGGAACGGACCGCTCCAGGGCCTCGCAAAAACTGGAACTTCATCTCGTCCCGCTCTGCTTGGCTGCATTGCAACGCGCTACTTATCGCTCTCTGCTGATAATCATGCCCTGTCAAAATGGTCGTCGGATTGTGTAAGTTGTCACCATCCTTGTTATGACAACTCTTGTTCACCTTATCTGCCTGTACACTGTTGGCGAATCTTGCTGCGGCCTTCACAGATTAAGCCGTTTCATGGAACAATGGTCGCTGTTAGACAGACGACTTATTGCCGAGCTATCGCCACTTCTGTGCGGTTCCGTTATCGACAAGGCCAGAAGCAGCGATCGCGTTCATCGTTGGCATAAGCACCTTGCATCGCTGTCGCGGCGATGACTTGTGGCTGCAAGAAAGACACAAAAGCTTGTGATTGGATCTGATGTTGCGTAGTGGGAGTCGCCCGGTCACGGTAATTGCGGGTTGTGCGCTGCCACTAACGCTGCGGCCTGCGCATGCGTCCGCGGTTGCCAAAACTTACTGTTCGTTGTCTCTTTTTTTTGTTAGTATGATGATTCATTTTAGTCTTTATTCATGATTCAATTATAGATCATAGGATCTTTGTCATGGGATGATGGATTATAAATTCAATGTTTTTTCCTTTGAAAGTCTGGCGGCGGGACTTAAGGCAAAAACAGCCTGTTTTTTTGCAGTAATACCTGACCGCTAGATTGCGAGTGCCTCTGCTTCAGGATGTAAATCTAATTCATGCTGCATGTACCTCAATTTGAATGTTATTTTCGCTTTCGATAAAATTTCTCCGGCAGAAGTTTGCTACCACTGTTCTTTAACATTAAATTGATGGGGTTTTATATACCTCGGGACTTTCACCTTATATCACGTTCTCGCTTGACACCTGTCATTCCCGCACAAAATGACGGGCACTGCAACAGGGCGGCGCGTCGTCCGCCTGTCGTGTTTTTGCTATCATTTTTGGTTTCACTTTTTTTCATTTCCATCGAGTCGCATCTTGGTGGACGAAGATTCCCTTTTCTTCGGAGCCATCAACGACCCAGAAATGTTGGGCGGTGCGCTCGCTAGAGATCACTTCCGCCTTTCTCATTTCCATTATTTAAGTGAAAGTCGCTCAAGCTGAGATAATCCTGCTACGCGAGTGTAGTTTGTTTCGTGGGCTATTTTCTATACGTTTTGTGTTTTAGATTGAAAAATCTTTACATGCTCGACAAACTTTTTTCATCATCTCTGATTTGAATTTTTAACTGCGTGTTCTAGCCTTCATTGCGCAGTTTTTAAGGTGACTTGGTAATTTATTATATCCTGATCTTTCTGTAGAGATTTCCGGTGGCTTCAAATTGCTGACTACGCGCTGCTAGGAAATTACTAGAGAATTAATCATTGTATATTATTTACTAATACTACTCATTCAGAAGAAAAATTGAAGAAAATTTTTTTTCTTCAAAGTTTTTAAACCTTAGAGAGGGCGAAGAAGTTCTCTATTTTGAATTAAATAATTTAGTTGAACTGTGCGATGTTGATTTGCTGTACTATACCGTAGTCATCCATCTTCTTGAATTTAAGCAAAACTCTATGTATGTGAAGCTGTTGGCTATTCTTGTTTAGACATTTTCTATGGAATTTATTTATTATTTAAAGCTCCGATTTATTCAAAGCCGCGACTCCGTATTTGATTTTGTACTCTCCGAACTCAAGCTCGGTATTAAAAAAAACACGTTAACCATTCATTTGATATTTGCCAAATAAAATTTTTTAAACGTCATCCAAGAAATTATTTACTGTCATAATAATACCTAGGTTTCCCTACCAAATTAATATTTTTTAATAAATACTGAATCAAATTTTGTTAAAATATATAGATACGGGATCATCAGAATTACATTATTCGTAGCTAGATTATGATCGTTCCAGACAGACTATATTACTGTTAGCTAAAACACATCGTTGTTCCGCATGACGATCTGTAACTTGTCAAGATTCAAGTTATAATTTGAATTTAATTATGCTAAAACTAGCTAGCATCAGGATTAAGCTCATGGTATTGCAGAATTTTCAGAAGGAAAACGACGCTCGTGAAATTAAAAGGCTTTTTGAGAAATTAAATAAAAATTAGTAGGCTGACTATAGCGGTGACCAACAGTTAGCGACTAAAACTTCGGAGGGACTGATTTTTAGCTTGATTTTTTTTACGCAATCATTTTCGGGCAATTAAGAGGTCAAATGCGTACTCGTGAATTATTATGAGTGATTTCTTCATTACTTTACAAAGTTGATCGTAATTTTGTTCCTCAACACAGCGTTCTCATTTGAAAATATTGTGATGATGTGCTTCACATAAAGTGCTTGAAATATCGGCGGCGATGCCTCGTATTACAGGCTCCGTAATCCGAAGACCGCAATGCTGCCCAAATTACCACGTAGCTAGGTTATCATTATTAGGCGGCGTGCCGAAATATCCACACTTTTCTTCTTTTACCTTAATTAGAGCGAGTGAGATTTATGAAACAGTAGCTGAGTTTCAACGACCTTCTGCATGCATGCATTTTTTTAGGAGCCTCTGTATGCTCTTTAAAGTTCTGTCCTGTTAGTAGAGGGTTACGTGTGAGTTGTCGGCTTAACCCCATTACAGCGATGAAAGTAACGGTAAATTTTAACTATTTGCACGAAGTACGCTTTCCCTTCAAATTGTCCGAAGTTTTCTTCGAACTGAGTTTTATACTATTTTTTTTTTCTTTCAGATTTTTATAGAATCTGGCAGTCCGAGAACATCTCTCTCATGATGTATAATTTCAGTTTCTTCGACGTGACTTTATCCCGCGATTTACTTCTAAAACCTCGCTTTGAAATCTTCCAGCAATTTATGCCCCAATTTTCCTTGATGGTGGTTTACGTTCTGGACGCCGGATTCCCTGTGCTTTCTTGCATGACATAATTTTCGTTCTGGTTGCTCCAACAAATTTGCACGATGTGACGCTCGCATATGTTGATCCGCGGAGCCGAGAATATTTGCAAGCAAATCTCCTCTGAGTGTTGGAGTCTTTCTAACTCAGTTGTGAATTATGCTGGTGACCATCGTCCCTTTATAAATTGAAAGGCAACGCTCCTAAAAAAACTGGTCAAAAACGCTGAATAAATTCAGACTGCTTTAATGTCAGCCACGCTAGTGACTTCAAATGCCGTACGTTTTTGCATTTAATCCAAGTGCCTGGAAAAGCGAGTCAAGATCTTTCGTTTCCCACTATAGTTTCTCTCTCTTTTGTTTCTTGCCTGTTTGAGTTTTCTTTGCTAAATCCTGTGACCATTGTCTTTAGGTCGCAGGTAGCCGCCGTTGCTTTGTTCTAACGTTCAATGCTGTTCTCACACCATCCTGTCTCTCACTCTTTTATCGATCATCATACAAAACTAGAATTTCTTCAAAATAACTGTCAAGATTGCTAAGTCTTTCGGAGTTCTGCGTATACTTCGTTTGAAAGGATCCCTTCGTTCTTGTTATTTTTAGCGCATTTTTTCATTTATGGAAAAAGGCGCTATTGTTTAATAGTGCATGCCTTCGCTGAACAATGCAGACGACGCGTCAAGGGCAAACACCTCTCGCTGACATTTAGTTTTGGTAGCTCTCGTTCCCAGCCATTTTTCTGTCTCGTTCCTATTGATTTCTATGTGCGCAGGAGTCAGGAACTCGAGACAAGCTCTTATTGACAAGACCCAAAGTTTAGCCGCTCACAGGTTTTCATCTTTTTCTTTGCTTTGATTATTGGAAGTGGTGGCGCGGCGCCTGGCGGTTTCCCGAAGTGCCCGACCTCTGCCTGGAAACTGCCTCTTGCGTCGAATCTGCGATTTAGATCGAACCTGTTCCTTGCCTGCAAATTTTCCAAAGAAACAATATTTATTCCATGCTGTCTTGATATCTTGAAGATCCAGGATATTTATGCATTCGTTAAATTTGTTATTTTATATTATTTCCAGTTTCCGTCGACATTCTTACACGAGACTTGAGACCCCGCCAGATTGTATTTAATATTTCACGGAAATGTATCATTTTGTATCTAAATAGGACCTCGTTACCAGAACATTTTACTTATTTCACTCTTTATTCTTTCTTTCAAAAGAAAATTCTTTTGCATCATTCAAAATTTAGTTAGTTTTATTTCGTGGCATAAAATGTTGAAACGCGCTGATTACGATTCCATTGTGTATGGCACAAGTTTCCGTATCGTCGTTTGTTGTCACAACTCAAATCTCGGCAACTCTCCATCTTACTGCCCTACTTAAGTTCGTATATTTAATTTTTTGCTGCAATCGTCGTCGCATAGCAAGTGCTGTATGCCTTCTGCCGACGCTGCTGCTGCTGCTGCTGCTAGCCGATCTGTCATGGACGGCAGGAAAAAACCTAGTGCAATGCCACGAACGTCTTTCTTTCGTCATTGGCCGTGCCGCTTGCCAAGTTCCCCTATTCCCGCTCCCAGTCCAAGACGTCTTCACGAATATTGTGGACGCAATCACTCACTTAAAATAGCAGGGCCGTTTTTCTGAGCCTTATCTGCACGAGTGCGTGCCCTACCAACTTTTCAATCATGATGATGTTGGCGCATTTCGCGTTTTCTACTTCCAGAATAAGGAATGGAGAGGGTAGAATTTCCTTGATGAACATATTTGTTAATGCCATATCATTTTTATTCTCCTTTTCTCTAGATTTTTAAACCTATTCTCTAACCTTGTAATAAAGATGTAAAACAAGATAATTTTTTATAAAAGTGTTTAATTTTTCTAATGTTTTAAAATTTTCTTATGTTTTTTTATGTTTTCCTAGTTAGATAGTTCCTAGTTTTCTTTCGTGTTATCAGATTTTTTCCTTATAATCGGTCATTCAATGAATTAATCAAGTTCTATTTCACCGTCATTCCTATATAGATAGGCCATGATGAACAGAATAATTTCCTCAATTGCCGAAATAGCACATCAAAGTTACACAAACTACCTTTCGACTTTACATCCAATTATAAATATTGAAAACCTGTTGTAAATATCTGCCGTCAAAGCTATTTTTTTCAATTAACTTCAAATTACTTTTTTTTTTTGTATTAACTATTATCTGAAGAATGGTCTTCAGAGAAATAATGGTCTTCAGAGAGAATGGTCTTCAGAGGCGAAAATAAGAAAAATTTGCTTTTTCGTTTGATGATCTCATTCTATAGCTGCGAAAAAGACACAACAGACGCGGCAAACTGTATGTATATATGGGTGTGTGTGCAAATATTTATTTAAAAACTAATATGCTTGTAGATCATTGTTCGCTCTAAACTAACTGGACAACGATGAGTCATGTGTATCATGATGTTATTCTCATTATGAGAAATGGGCAATGGAAAAGTCAAGTTTTACAGTACCAAGCCATTTTTTCAGCATTCAGTTCTATTCGAACCTATTTCACTTTTTACCTCTACTGTACAAATTGAAATTTTTCAACTTAAAATTTGTATTACACCTTCCTGTCAGGAGCTACAACTATGAGAGGCATATCATTCGATTAGTCAAGCAAATATCTATCATCTCTTCAATTTCGTTAACATTTTTGTCCTTTTTTTAAGTTTATTGTAAGAATTAAATACGTTTGGGGGAAAGAGAGTGGGAAGAACTAGAAAAAAAGGCTCTAGAGTCAATTGGCTTATGTTCTAATACTAATACTATTTTTTCAAATTTTGACTCTGTAATCGTACGAGATTTTTATCTCTGAAATTGTCCTTTTTTGAAGACTCCTTTATTCTGAAAATTCGTACGGATAAAGTTTGCTTTTATAGTGTTATATATGTGTGTCCAAAGTTTTAGAGAGATTGGTCCATTGATAAAGAAGTTCGTTTTTGCGTGAGACCCTCCCTTAATTTAAGTGCATTAATTGTTAGTTCAATTAAATCAAACGGTTTCCAATGCATCTTCTCTTTTGCTCTAACTGTTCTTTACGCTAGACAGTTTCACATTAGGCAATCCAATTTAATTGATAAACGCCCATGCGATCATTTCTCTTAAGACATTCACGTTCGTGGAGTAAAATTCTTGAAGCTTATCAATACATATCATCACCAGAATTGCGTCTACGTTATCACGCGTAATTTCTTCGAGATTACGTTTGTAAACTGATTGTGACGGGCTGGGCTGGCAAGGTTGAGATATCGTAACTGTAAGGATTTAGTCATTTATACTACAAAATAGCGGTTATCCCGACATTACGGATGTAAGTTTATTGCGGACCGGAACTTACTAGCTAGGACGAGTTATTTTAGATATTAAGAGTTGACTTTACGATCTCATCCTCGTCGGAAGTCTCCTTCTGATCCATGTTTCATTTGTACAAACTGATTGCTGCCATAATAAAGATAATGTGGGAACTCGTAATCTATCTCCTGTGATGTGTCAAAGCTGATGTAGAGAACCCAAGAGAATTACTACAGTAACTCTTTTGTCAAGTTTAGCGCTTGTCTTGTTTGGTGCGACTAGTGCAGCGCAGCGGAGAGTGCTCTTTAATTAATGTATTGTTGCGCCTCCACCCTGAAGCGAACCTAACTATATCAGAAGTTTAGGTTTCTTCCTGAAATGGACGAAAATTTTGCCCTTTATTTTTCTAATTTTTTTATCCAGCACATCCCCTAGAGAAGAAATTTTCCCTAGCTCGATTCGTGCAAAATCTAATACTACTTTCGAATCTTGTCTAAATTCTAAGAAGGCACTTAAAGTCTATTTGATGATAGTTAAGAGGCGGATCATTGTTATTTTAGTGCACTGACGTACAAAATATGTAGGTTAATATCATCCCATAATTGTCATCGTAGCTGAAACATCAGTTTATTCATAATCAATTTGTCGTCTTCTCACCGTCGTCCATGTTCTGATCATAATCCCCTTGCGTGCAAATGGAAAGTTATGAAAAATCTTCGCTACGCTTTAACGATGTTGTGCATACAGCGTGGCTTTCGCAATAAGGAAAACAATTAATTTCAAGAACACTGTTAGTGTGCGACCAGATGTGAAAAACAGGCGGACTATAAAACATGTTTTGTTTATTATTGAAGTGGTCGTTGCAATTGTTTAAGCGTAAATTGAGAAATGAATTTATTGACGCATGTAAATATGTTCTGTATTTTATTTGCAGGATGTGCAGCCTGTTCCTGCCAGAACTGTCGAGCTTCATCGCTGCACTGCTGTTCGCCGTGCATCCTGTGCACACTGAAGCCGTGAGTCTCTTCGCTAACATTCGCGTTGTGTAAAATATATCGATTGCACTATATTTATTTTTTGATCTTGATATCAGTAATATTGTACCTGTTACTTTGCTGTAGCTAAGACAACTTATAATGATAAGTATTACCTTACATTTGTAAACAATCCTTTCGGAGTGGTATATATGATGAATGCAAGTGTAGTGTAGAGGCGAACATTGCGCGCGTCTGTAAGAGACGGTCGAGTGGTTGGCTGTGAATGAGGGCGGCAGTTTCAGAGATGACAGCGCTTTTAATTTGGACTGAACGCGCTGCGGAAATGAGCCTTCGCTTCTCAGACCGACTCGTGCGCGAACCATTTTCTCCTTGCGCTCACTTATTTTCTCTTATATATTAATTCGTGCCTTCGTACCTTCATTGCAACCTCAGTTCAAGTTCACAGCATTATTTTGTTTTACTGACTTATTTTTAGCTCAAAATTTTGTTTGAGGTTTAAATTTAATCTTTTATTTTTATTTTCCTTCCACGGTTTTCGTCTGCTTTCTTATTATTTTCTTCGGTTCATATCTGGTGGTCACCCAAGGTTGTTATTTTTAATCTTTTAGTTTTGCAAAATTTTTTTGCTTAATTTTATTATCATATTGTCCTTTGTTTAGGAATGTTACTTTTGCTATGGCGTTTTTGTTGCAATTTTTCGTGCACTTTCAACTATTTTTCCAAGTTTTAATTCGCGCGCCACTGAAAGACCAAACTAAACTTGGGAAATACCAACGTTGGAATCTAAGTATTGAGTAGCTCACATTAGCTGATATGCGCTCCTATATCTCCTTGCACGTCGCCAAACACGGCGTCTTTTACATGCTGCACTGAACGCAAACAATTCTGATTGAAAAAGTTGGTTCTGTGAATGATGGCACCGCCAGGACACCAAGGATCCCTGGCTTATTCTTCAAGTTTGGTCATAAAGTGATTCCTTGCCGCACAGGATGTCTTGTTTGCCCTTTGCGAGGGGAATCTTAATGTAGTCGCGATACCTGGCTTGTGTGTTGCTGCTTGCGCTATTCCTTTCTGCCAGCGATGTTTATGATGTCAAAGCTGAGGCTGGAATATTTGTGATGAAACTACCCCGAAGTTATTGGTGTTGTTGCGATTGATGTTTACGCTGAAGTTGGCGTTTTTCAGCTTCTGGTTTGCTGTCGGTGCTGCTGTAATGATATCGCTTGTTGGTAATAAGTTATAATTTTAGGCGTTATTGCTGTCAAAGGATGTTGTTGCCCCGTGCAAAATCAGTGACTTTAATTATTTCTAAATATTTTTTGCTGCCCACAGGAATGGGTGTATTTTAGATGATTAATAAAACGTTGAATTTCGAAGCCAATTGTTGGTTTTAAATTTATCTAAATATCGCACCTTTTCTATGATCATATCTTAGATAACTATTCCGTGTTACGCTTTCCCTGTAATTTATTCAAACTAAAATGGACTGAATCATACATATGTCGGTCATCACCGAAAAAATGAATAATTAGTCCCCTCAAAAATTGCGATGAAACGTGTTGCATTTTTTCTTGGCTCTTGGACGGATGTGAAAAGATCTTCATGAAATTTCATGTTCTTAGAATGTTCCTAAAAATTAACTGCTGCAATCTTATTATTCAAAATAAACCTCGCGTTACTAGTAGTCTCTAATCCTGAATAAAAGATTTTGCTGGTAATGAACGTTCTAAAGTCTAATGGACTAGCAATTACAATGATGATCTGTATTAAACTTTTAATTTAGTCTCGTATGTATCACAACAAATGGTTAGTGATATTGTGTGATATGTATTGGCGCACGTCATACGTACGTAAGACAGGTAGGCAAGTATCTCCGTGTTCCGCATCACTAATTACTCGCACGAACATCGTTCAGTTGTCTTCACAAAGACCGAGACCCTTTGCCTCCGTCGACGATCCACATGCCGTCTTATGAGCGTTCATAATTTGATCTTGGTTCATAATTTTGATCTTGGTGGCTCCTTTAAATTCACCGTTTGTTCTCAACGCACCAGCAAACCTGATGGCCGTTCTCGGTTAGCAGGGATTTATTCTCCTCAGATGATGAAGAACTCGCTTAATTTGAACTTGTTTTATTGACTTTCTGGTTGCCACTCAGACTCACAACTTCCGTTATTAAGATTTATTTTTTACTGTCGTCCACACAGCTTCTCGTGTGTATTTTTCTCGTTGCTTTAAATGTATTCAGTAATAGGAACCAGTGAAACAAAGCACACGGTCTTCTTTTTGTAAATATTGGCCACTTATTTTTTCAACATAAGGCAATCATTCTAAATGAGATGAAAAATGACAAAATCTCCCATGGTGATAAGCGCCGGTAGTAACCTAAATCGCAGCAAACGTATGTACAAAAAATGACTTGAAAATTTTATTGAGAGTGGAGATTCCCTAATATTTTGATTCAATGTTACTCTGAGTAATGCATAATAATTATCATTGCAAAATGTCGGGGAAGATGAAATTGGAGGCATTGTGGATGGCTGCTGAGAAAATTGTTCAGAATGAGCCGCAATAGCGGCAGGAATTTTTCATAGTCTGCTCATGCTAGCAATTGGCAGCAATTACAGGCTATCGATGACCGTGATTCAACTCCTGATGAAGCGACCACTCGGGCAGCCCTTCGCACTGCAGAGTTCTCTTCTTGGCAAACTCTGTCACCTGTTGCCTGAGCTCAGTCTTGCCGCATACAAAACTTACATAAATTGCCTAGAAATTTATTTGGCTTATTTTTTTGTCTTCATAATGTAAGTAATGCGCCACTGTTATGTTATTTTACGGCAATATCTGTCCTCGTAAAACCTCAAACCACGGAGGTTTCATACTACCATCGAGCACAACAACTCATACACACAAGAAATATCGAACAAAAGTAGCGTAAGCTAACAATTGCAATTTCGTTGTTTTCAATTTGCACGAATATTAATAAAATTTGGATGTGATTGAACCATTGTAAGATGGATTTGACATTTTAAACTTGTTATTCAATGCTCTGGCTTTACTAAACGGTCACAGTTATCTTTCATCTATCAATTCTAAGAAATTCGATCAACGTTTTTATCTATTCGATACGACAATTACAGTTGAAAATATTACAGTTTGATCACACTGCTCGAGAAAGATATTTTTTTTAGTCTGAATCACATCCTTTATACTTCTATCCGCAACTTGGAATCTCAACCGGAGCCCACGACACACTTGAACCACTAGCCAAAAACACGTGTCATGGGGGAACTACTGTATAAATTCCAGATTATTTTTTTTATGAAATTAGCTTCTTCGACAAAGTTATTTAGTTTGTGAATGCAGAATCACCAATGCCTTATTGCCAATATTGTGGGGAAAATTATAAATATTTTGTCCCAGATATTTTTTCTTAAAGATAACCCACAGTTGAGATTCTCACCTCACCGACTTTTAGGAATGTACTCATCATTGCTGGATGAACTCGTTTTTTTTATCATGCAAATCATGCGCGGAGATTTATCGTGTATTTTATACGAGAATTGTGTGTTTGAATTGTTTTTTGCTTCCAGTTACATCCGTTTTGTTTGTTACATCGAGTTGCACCCGATTTGTTTGTTACATCCAGTTGCACCCGATTTGTTTCTTACATCCAGTTGCTCCCGTTTGTTTGTTGCATCCAGTTGCACCCGATTTGTTTGGACCGGAACGGAGTATAGAAAAACATAGGGAATATAACCAAACTTGCTCCTTTAACTGCTTAGCTGGTAATTACAAAACAACGACAGTACTAGCACATTTCATACTGTACCTAGTGTTCAATTAATGTACGAGACTTATCCGCCTTGAAGTAATTACCTACTCGAGAAATCAAAAATATGTATCAATTCTTTGCGTTCTTTGACAATTTTTTTCCCCCGCTATTGTCTCTATGAAATTGTTTAGTTCTGATTACAGACCAGTGCAAATTATGGTATTAGCTGCGAGAAGGCCAAATTTCTACGTGAAGATTCAATTCAGTCTTTTCACTGAGACATTCAAAATGGTTAAACATCTTACTCCAGAGCAACAACGTATTTTTTAGATTTTAGTCTGGGACGCAACTTTTTGCCGTGGTAGCAAATCAGCATGCAAGTTATTTATTAAAAAACTGTCGTAATAGAGCATAGCGTTTGGAGTCGCCAAATAACACAGGAACAGGAAAGGTCAGGTTCCAGGAGAGCTAAAAAATTTCTGCAAGCACATCAGGAATGTGTTTCCATTTAGCTTGAAACAACGCACTTGAATATAGGATAGTTGTGCGAGTATTTCCAGGAAGCGATTTGTTGAGCGAATAATAATTATTACTTTGGCATTTCACAAGAGAAAGTATGACTGGAATGACATGTTAAATAGCTTTAGGATATCATATCATCTCAAATTGAATATTTTATGAAAGTTAAAGAGCCCCATAAACTGTCATCGAATTGAATTTTGCCTCTTGATTGGGTTGTTTTATGGAAGTAAATTAGTTATTCAATACTAAGTAGTTCTCGCGAGTTATTCAGTTCATTAATTTATTTTTTCTACTATATTCTACTCGATCTACTCCCATCCGCATAATGGCATCACTGCGCTTCTGGCTTTTTTCGAGTAATTGTGCAAAAACTTTGAGCACACGAAATCATGAAATATTTTCCCAAATTTCCTTGAAAATATTTGCTCAGAAGCGCGTACTTGTACGTTGTCTAGTTGTTGTTAAAACTAATATACTGAACCATCAAATGGAGATCGGACATAGAAAACAATTTCTTTCTGACAATTAACAATCTATAGCATAGCATCCGCTGCTTATGCATCTTGATGCAGAGGCTACATCTGTGGCGTCCGAGATTATAATTTTATCTAATTCACATTGCACGCATATATGATATTAAATGTCCTTGGAACAGTAGGTGCTAATGATAAACTCCCTATATTTATTTATATCTAATCACGCGTTGATAGTGCACGCTTTTCTTTTATAAAGGGATTGTATGCATTTGATGTGCATTCATTGTCAGTCGTCATGTGAGTGTTACGAATTAGGCTGATTTGTTATGAAAAGGTTCCAGAAAGGAGGGTTTGTCAGAGCTGCAAACTAACAAAGAATTAAAATATTCTGATAAAGCTGTCCTGAGAGACGACTCTAGAAAGCTATGCTAAGCCGATTTACCGTAATTTCGACAATGGCCAAATCTTTCAACCGCAGTAAGAATCTACGTCTTCAAATTTTATTTGTTGCATAATTTTCATGCTGAGTATCGTTGAAAAGTATAATTGTACGAGTAGTTGGAAGTTACTTCAAGTCAGCGAAGACGATTATCTCTGAATTTTAATGTTTTATTGCTCTCCAGCTTACAAGGAAGGAAACGTAGAAACAAGCTATGTATCAACTTTACTTTGGACCGACACCTTCGAAGTATTACTTACAGTTATTTATTGTCTGTAAGAATCGAGATCTTTGTGCAAAGCACATTCGAGCGACGTTGTGGTGATTGATGACTATCCCATTGCCTAGGAGTTGCACGTACCGTGTCCAAACAATTAATTCTTCTCGCTGTGCTACAGAGCCGACATCTTCTAGCAAATGAAATGTTCAGAGAATTACTGCACTCGTGAAATGATGCTTCTTACGAACTGTGACGAAAACTGCTTTTTCTTCAGTCGTTCTTCGCCAGAACAATTGTCGATAAAAATTCGTCATGTGTTATTGTAGTCGTAAATCTGGGCTCTGGAAGCGATGTTATAATTGCCGTATCTTAACCTATAACGAATTGGATGGCTTCCTTGACAGCGCTTGTTTGTCGCGCGCTTATATCCATGCAGCCGGTAATGTCGCTCTCGCTTTGTGCTGCTGCGGGTGTTGTTTCTCGTCCTGCTTTTTCGGCTTATGATTGTACGCCTCATATCCATATTTAGTTTCACATCTTTTATTTCTTTTTCTTTAATCCTAATTTATTCCCTGCGTGGGTTGTTCATTATTATCCTCCATTCCTCTGTTGCAATCCAGTTCTCAAATTTGTTGTTCGCCCCCACATTGCTTTCAAGCACTAAAATGTCCTCTAATGCTACCACGAATACCGCTCAAAACAATTATTCATACCGAGTATTTATATATTTATTTCAATGTATGATTATTATGTTGCGCCTGCATTCGCTTGTTTTTGCGGTTCAGCATCTTTAAGAAAAAAATAAACATTTCCAACGGCAAATTATGAATTACCTCTTGCATGGTGTGCGTTGAATAGTTTCCTTGATTGTTTTAAGATCAAACACTTAACGGCCGTTGTCAAAAAGTGGGAAACCCCAGCATGGCTTGTAGGCTACGTTGCGAAGAGTGTTGGGGGTCAGTTCTCGCTTGTAGCTGTGATATGATTGTGCAAATATCGGTGTGATGTCGAGAGCACCTGCTATGTTTATCTCTCCAACATCCGCCAGGTAGGTTTATCCACGCTACAACTTTGTCTTCAGCTCAAACCTGCTTCACTTTTATACTTTCATGAACGCCTGGCATCTCTGATCAGTAAGCTTGTCTTATCGACAAGCAAGAAATTAATTTTGAAGTTGAACCTAAAACATTGTAATATTTATTTCATTTCTTCTTCGATATATATTCCGTCGAAAACGTTACTCGTGTAACTATCTATACCTGCTTAACCAGTAAAGGTGACACTACCAATTAGCCTATTGCCACTTGTATAATCTGTTACTCCCTGCTGCATGTATATCTGTTCATTTTATAACAAGTTTTCAACACGCCGTTTAAGTAACCGAAGAAATGTTTGCTCACCAGCAAGGACTACTTTAAACCCAAGTCCCATTACTAATCTTGAAGACATTGAAGAGTTGAGTTAAAGAATATGCAGCATTAAACATTAATAATGCTTGGCGTGGGATGATTTAAATTTGATTAGCACCTGGCTGTATTCGATGCCGGTGCTCGTAATGCATTTTCCATTCAGTGTCTGTGTCCGGCAGCAGGTAATTCATACGGGTCGTTTTCTTGAATCTCAACGTTCACTTTTTAGAGCTAGGCTAGTAGTTTTAACCGTTGTTAACATGGTCCATCAAAGCTTTTCGTAGTAAACGCCCTGCGTCTTCCAGAAGATAAACAGCGTCCTACAGATTAAGCTACACAGTCACAAGTACCTAATAATTCAACTGAGGAAAGGAATGACGACCAACGGAAACGTTGCAAATTTTACTCGCGATGTGACGAAGTCGTGTTTGCCTGCCGTGGCTGGCTCTTCGTACCTACTCGGTCTTAGGCTTGCCGCTCTGCCTTGTCTGGTGTTGACAGCGCAAACTTCACTGGTGGTCGCTAATTATTACAGTCGCCTCGGCGAACACACTCATTTTCCTCCACATCGTGTTTCCAGAGGGTGGACGACATCCTCATTAACACTCGACGCAATCTAGTTTTGTGGACTTTGCTGCCCGTGTAATAACATAATTATGACTCGGCATTTTGACCTCCTTCGACTACATAGTGAACCAATGACTCGTTATATTTTCAAGTATATTTTAACGATATTTGATGTTATGTCTAACTTTTGTCTATTTAATTTCACCTCAGGTGACGGGCGTGGTTGGTCGAGCAGAGACTCTGTCCTCAATATTCTTCATCGGCTCGCTGCTCGCGTACTCAGCGGCGACGAGGAAGCTTCTGACGCGTCCGCACGGCGGCTCCCTGCACTCCGGCTCTTCTTCCTGCGCCTCGTGTGCTGGCGGAGGCGGCTCATGCTCAGCGTCTTCCTCCAACGGCTCGTCACCCCAACAAGGGATGAACGTCTACATGGGGAATAACTCCTCTAGTTACGTCACGTCCAGCGTACCCTCGAGCAACTCAGTGCGTCAGTACAATCACCGTAACGGGGTTACCAGCTACAACGTGTTGAGCAGCAGCGGCCTGGGTAGCTGCTTGAACTCGTACGTGCAGCACTCGGGTGGCCCCCGCGCGCGCTACGGCGTCGCTCGCAGCCCCAGTGGCAGTCGCAGCGGTGGGCGCACTCGCTGGCGCTGGCTGGGACTCAGCGTGGTGCTCGCGAGCTGCGCGATGCTCTGCAAGGAGCAGGGTATCACCGTCATGGCCGTGTGTGCGCTCTACGAACTTGTCATCGTGCAAAAGGTAAGCGTTTCAAGTTTTCGTGCTATATTTTTCGAATTATTTACATTGACAACAAAAGTTTAGAGGTGTTAGTCAGCTGTAGAAGGCGTCTTTTTCCTAGATAAGCACAGTGCTTTAGTTTCAAGTCTTACCTAAATTCATGTAATATTATACATAGTAATAATTTTGTTTCTTCATACATTTTGTCTAATGTTTACTTTGAACTAATTGTAAAAAAAAAACATATTAACAAAGGTCTTTAATTATATAGTAATACGACGAACCTAAGGCACTACCACTGGCAGTTGATTGCCAGTATTACAAACTTCATTGAAAATTATGATCATTCTTTTGGGGGTAATTCGGCCGTTGGTCGGCCGTCCTCGTTTCCCCGATGATTATTGTAATACTAGTGAATTCTTGCCGGCGCCATGACTAGCGGTCACGTTCACTGGGCCCCTATAACCGTTAATGGAACTCGCGCTGTACACTGCACTCCGTGCGAGCTGCTTTACCTTTTGTGTGCCAATTATTCCCTTATATTTTCTGGTACCAATTTTATCTGTTTCAATCAGCTTGAACCAGTGTTTCTCGGGACGGATAATTTCTGAGATTCTAAAATCATTTCTCCAAATCCCCATTGTTCTAATTCTGTTCATAATTCTCCAACTAAGTCTTAAGTTTAATTCAAGAAGTCCAGTTTGACCTCCTATTTAGCACGCAACTCTTATTTGACAGCCGTTTGTAAATTGTAACACAAAGACTCACTTCCACAAATGTGAAAATATATTGTTTACTACCTGATGGTCTGCTGCAAATTATTATTTCATATGCCATAAATATATATTTTACAGCCTTTAATCTCATTAAGATTAGGTTTGCTGATGTAAATTATTTCTCACCCATTTTCTCTGAGGGGAAGCTGGGTTTCACTTTTCCCCTCTCACAGAGCAGCACCCACGTTAAGCCCACTTCCTCATTCATTCATCATTCCCTCCTGTTCTCTGTTCTCCATCCTTACAGTAATTGTCACTTTTTCCCGACGTTCGCTTTTGTCTTTCATTCGTACTCAAAACTTTATACAACGTACTCCCATATACATCCCTTCCCGGCCCGCTTGTTACCAGACAACAAAGATCAGAAGTAGTACGCGTTCTTTGTGCGCCGAGCATTCGGCTTTAACTTCGTTAGGTTTTTAGGCAGAGCTTTTAAAGGCGCTCATGTAATGAGATTGAGGAACCACGTAGTGCAGTTTGTTTGATGTAATTCTTTAGAGATGCCAGTGAGACGACGGGCTGGCGCTCTGGTGCTCAGCTGCTCCTGCACTCGCGTATTAAATATTTTTGTAGAATTGTGGATGGTCGATCATCGGTCGACCTTGTTCTACTATACGGAAAATGCCGACTCATTTACGTATAGTCCCATATTCTTGCTTGTCGAACACTACATGACCACTGATAGTCACACCCAACTGTGGTTCTTTACTCATCTTTGGTTTGTCATCATGCTCATTAGTACTATGTTACTGATAGGCATTTCAACGCGATTCTTACACCTGGTTATGCTATAGCTTTCTATTGTTGATTGTTCTATGAACAAAGGTGCATGTGCCAGCAGTTTTAATTGGCATTTTCATGCGGAACTTCACCATATCGCTCTGCTGCATTGCATCATTTTTCGCCACAATAGTATCTTCGCTCGTTATAGCATTGATGAATTGATAGAGCATATCTATCAATTAAAAATACTTGCTTTAATTTTCATCATCCTGTCCCTCTAACCTGGATTTTTCAAAACGTTTAAAGAGATGTCTCGCAGCCGTAATAAATTTCGCTTGCGCATGTTTGTAACGAGAGTTCGAATGATTTTTTTTATCCCAGTACATTATTCTCCTGTCAGTTATGTGATTAAATAGGAAAAAAATAAAAGAGATTATTATTTTCTTATCGTCTCATATATTTTAAAGTTAATAAAAGAGATTATTATTTTCTTATCGTCTCACATATTTTAAAGTTGGACACTCGGAGTGATTACTCCACCAATTTTTCGTTACGATCAGGTTCAGGTTCAAGATACCGGTATTCGTTACTTATCGTTTTGTCATGTCGTCGCCGAGTGGCGCTTGATTGGCACGTATGAAAAGGTTCTCTTTTTGGAAAGGTTACGGCAAAAAAATAGTACAAAGAGAGGGTTGTAATGAAACACTGGTACATTTCATATTAAATTAGAAATTCAAGTTCACATCCTACATTAACAAAAATGTCTAGGACATGAAAAATGTAATCCGACACAATCAAAATTGAGAACCTATCAGTTTACATACGTTGATAAATTGCAGTTCCGTTGAGCCGTACGACCGTTGCAAACGACCGTATTGTACACGCACACTTAGCAGCCGTAAGTTGAGCGGCCGTACCGCTGCTGTATTCTCGCGTCCGCTTTCACAGTTGCTCTTTCTTCATGGCCGTATTTCTCGCGCTCTAGTGATGTCTCGCGGCCGGTCTAACCGTTGAGTTTATGGTGACCGTACTTCGGAATAGTGGTGCCCGTCTTCATAGTCGATGAAAATACTCCAACTCCGTTGTCGTACTGCGGTTGAGATGACTGTGACCGTGCCGCTTCTTCTGATGAAAATAGTGACCGTACTATTGATGACCGTACCGATGATAATTCTTGGTGTAGAGCTCGAAACTTAGATCTTCTGATGACGTGCGTTATAATCGTTGTACAACTCGTGGCTCTCTCGCATTGTCTCACGGCTGAGTCGCAGCCGTAGTGTTGATGTTGATTTTCTTGACGTGCATGCTCACCGGACTCGTAGCTGCCTCGATAGTCTAGGTTTCTCGCGAGTCGCGATTGTCAATGTTCGAAAACGACAAACCGCCGGCCTCACGGCCGCGGCCGTTGCAAAGTCCGCTGCAGACTGTGCTCGTGACCGTGACTTTCGTAGAACCAACTCTTGGCGCGAATTTTAAGGTCCTTATATACGCTAGTGTCTCGCACAATTAAGCCTATACCCTCGAAGTGACGCCGCGACGGTTGTGAGTTCCACAAGGTCAGCACCTATGATACCCTCGCCGTTTCAAACTATAAACAACCCTCGCTCTCCCGGTCTCGGGAACAACAGCACCCTATACAAGCTTTACACAGTTCCACCCCAAATTCCTGTAGCCTTCTCAACACTTTACTCTAAGTCTCTAACTTTAATAATTTTCATAACTCAATGTACGAATTAATTCACCCACAGACTGCGTTCTATAAAATATATAATTTTAAGTCAGAATTACCGACGCTCTAATCATATGGACAAAGATTTTCCTATTTGCGCATCGATTTATCTTCTGTTTTCTACATTGAAGTTTGTTTTGGTTTCTTGGTGCAGGTCCGGGGTTGGGATCTCATCCAGTTCGGGGAGGGGCTACTGTCAGGCAAGGGCTCCGTGCCCCCCTGGCTGGCAGACTGCGCCCCTCGTATGTTCGCCCTCGTCGCCACCACCCTGGGCCTCATGCTGGCCAGGGTCCATATCATGGGGGCACAGCTTCCCGTCTTCACCAGGTGCGTTAAACTTACCGGGGAATTTCACCTGCAATTGTTGCTTCAGTGAGACTAGCTTCAGTGAGCCTGCCGCAGCGTAAAGACGGCAGTGTTCACACTCCAGGCGGTGAACTTGATTTCGAGACTTTTTGTAACCAGGACAAAATTTGTGTTGGTCTTTCTTTACTTGAACTGAATATTGAATATTACTTAGAAAATTATTTTGTATCCTTGCCCTTACGATATTTTTTGGCGTTGTCGCACTTGAATCATTTGCTGCTCATGCCATCTTCTTTGCTGCTGATGTTTTTGTATTTTCGTCTCATGTTTTGACCAAATGCTGGCACGGCGAAACAAATATGGTCTCGTCTGAAAATATTCCGTGGAATATGGTCTTGTCGTAGTCTAACCTTCCCACGCCACGTTCCCTGGCTTCTATTCAAGTTCAAAATCCCCTCAATTTTTATAAATCGAACTTGAAAGGGACCGATATCCTATATTTTTGCAACACTTCATCTGGCGGTTTCTTTGAGTGAAATAATCCAAATTACTTAAAACCAACTGATGCTATGAGCGCCGATGTAATAAATGATGAGGTAAAAAAACTCAAATATACTCTATCGAGCCAGTTGTTGACGCGAATCCAGCTGATTATTCGAGTTTAATGTTTGCGCCATTAACAACTGATATTATTACAAAGAAGATTTTGCGCGTGTTGTGGGACTGGAGCTGGGCATCATTGCTAAGCAGCCAGCCGTATCTCGGGCGTCTCTCATTTGCATCCCCTTATTATTGAGACAGGTGCGGCGGCTCTCTCTCCCTCTCTCTCTCTCACACGCACACACACACAAACACACTCACATCGGCGCTGTCTCTTGCGAACAGGTTCTTTCTAATCGCTTCTATTCAAATGAGTTGCAATTACAGAAAGATAATTGCTTTACCTGGACCCGAGATTCAGGACATAATTGAGGCTGCTCTCATACAGGCTTCATGAGACTGTTTTGACCCCCTCACAAAACCTCTCATCTCGAGTTTCATGAACCAAACTGCGCGCTTTGCCATGCCACGTGCTCACGCAAAACGCGTTTTGAGTAATATTCTATCGTAGGTCCACGGGCCGGTCGGGGCCTAATCATAAAATTTTTGGACCGTATAGATCACAGGCGAAGTTCAGATTTTTTTCTGCAGCTTAGAGCTTAGTTAGAAGTTCAGGTTTGTTTGTAAAGTACTGTTGTTTAAATCCGACGACTAAAGTGCAGCATTGAATTTTTTGATAGATTTATCAGTTACGAACGTGAAGCAAAAACTTAATATTATCTTGATTAGAACACGCTTATTGTTACGAATGATATTATTCTCTCATTTAGTTTGCAAATGTTCGTTCAATGTTGATCGCAATTTTGTCGTTGAGTTTTTATAACCGAAAGTTGAGCCCGATTAACGATCGAATTCTAGCGAAAAAGCCTGTTATCGGTCAGAAATCCTAAAAATCTACGATCGCGATCGTTGCTAACTGATGAAGGCTCACCAATGACGTTACTGGAACTCTAACGAGCCATAAAAGCTCTGTTTGCGTCGACATGGTTGCCATGGCGACTCTCGACTGCTCTTGCGCCCTGTAATTGCATCAAAAGAAGCTTTTACGTGGGCTGCCATAACACGTGTTCCTTGATTGGTGGCGGCTTCATCCGCTGTCGCTGCCGTGATCTTGCGATCGTAGTTTGTGGTGGCCTTTTATTTATTTCTTTTCTTTTTTAAATCGAGCCATGCAATCGAGCTGTGTTTGCGTATTCTGGACTCTGCAGTCTAGTATTAAAGCCGGCGTTTGCCTTGTTAATGTAACAAATGCTTTGCCAGCCGTCGAGGTTCTGATTTGCTGCTCGTCATCAATAAACCAAACCAAAATTCTGTGCGAACAATACGAAGCCAATGAGTACTAGTTTAAATCTTATTCTTCTTTGTAAAGATTCAAGAAGATTATTTAGTATTCGCCGATTTACAATAATGTATATTTTGAGTGTTTTTTCGTAAACCTTAACATTTTATGTCCGATCTAACTCCAGAATGGAGCTGCTGCATGAAGGCACACTATCCTTGCAAAGATGTACCGTGCCAGTAACATAATGGAAGCTTGGGCATCGTCTAGCTCTCGCTGCTGCTGCGGCTATCATATCATTGGCCTGAGACCGTGTTAATGGCAATTGGTTTTTGATGAAGCATTATTGAGCGCATACCACTGCGAGGGGGGCGAGCGACGAGCATGCAAGTCGACTGGCCGGCGGTTGGCTGCGAAGCTAGCAAGGAATAGAGAGAGTGGTGGATGGTGCAGAGGGTGCAGCATATATTACATTAATGTCGGCCATGTATCGCGCTATGGGTTCTCGCCGAGCAGTCGCAACAAAAACCAAGAGTGTTGTGCGTTGTGGTATTCGTGCGGCGCACAATGACTTCTTCTTGACTGCAACAAAGACAGGCTCCTTAATTAGTAGCGATGTCGCTAGCTCAACCGATGGTCGGCACTATAGTTGCTTTGATAATCTCCATGGAATTAGCTTCTTGCAAAATTTCCATACTTGTTTCATTATTTTGTTCTACATTCTTGCATTTGGTTAAGTTCAACATTAAATTCAACTTACTGCATTGAATTACCCTGATGATAGTTCATTTCATGAACAAGTAGTTTAAATAAAGTACACCAGTAAAATGCTTATTAGGGAACTATTACTTGAACGAAGAAAGTCGGTAGACCGCATCAAGAAATTTCTTGACGTGAATTATCTTGCACAACTTGAATACAATTTATACTGCCCGACATTCCAAGGATAAAAATTGCCGCCTTTCTCGGCTTTTTGAGCTGATTATAATGACTATGACTGCATATTTATTGAAACCCTCGGCATTCCTCTACTGCAAAAAGGTTTCCAGGTTTGACTGTGATTCTCAACTATTTAGTTGTTTGTGCGTTCTATATTGAAAATAAAACAAATAAAAAAAACTTTTGAAAACGACGTTTTCTTAACGGACAAAAAAGGAAAACATTTACTCTTATATAACATTTAAGTTATGTAAAATGTTATGTAATGTTATGTAAGAGTAAATGTTTTTTTACTCTTACTTAAACGTGTTTTTTAAAGTTTTTTTTATTTGTTTTATTTCACTATTTTTAGTTTTGTAAAAACCAGAAAAACTTGGTTTTTAAAAATATTTTTATATTTATTTATTTTCTACTTTTTAGTTAGCAGTTTTAGCCATTCAAATCAATTTCCAGGGTTGGCAAGTGTGGATGTTCAAGAAAAATAAACTTAATTACAAACCGTGAATTTTTAGTGTTTTTTTTTACTTTTTAATTTTTTTTATTTATTTAATTATTATTTCTGATGACCAAATCTTGAATTGTTAGGCAGCATAAACATGCATGCCAAATTTCAACTTACTAGGATGTTTAGAAGTGTTCTAAATTAAGGTTTGAATTTTTGATGACAGACACACACGAAACGAAGTCAAGAAAAACGTGGTAATAATATTGTGTAGTTTATTGAACAAAAAATTGCAACGAGTAACATATCAATTTAGTTTTAATAAGGAAAATTTGGAAAGAGCCATTGCAAAAGTTTGTAAAAGCATGCATTGGCGTGACACTGTAATATTACGAGCAGATCCCGTAGACTTGGGAGTAGCTAACATGAGTCCCAAGCTAGTAGATGCTGCATGCCGTGAAACTCTAGAGAGATTTTTCATGCTGCTTCATCAAGCTCTTTCAACATGAAGCTGCAACGAGTAACATATCAATTTAGTTTTAATAACTAATCCTACACCCAAATTTTGTTTAACAAGCAGCTTCTATACTAGGCTCTTACAGTTGTTCCTGAGTTACTTAATTCATAGAGCTGTTGCAACACTCTGTTGTAGCAAGCAGCACTTGACTGTAGCAGTTATTCGGTTGTTACTGCATGTATCTGCAGCACGCGATTGTACACATAGCTGTAGCCAACTGATGCAGCATCCTCCCTTTTGTTGTCACTCCCACAGTCCTGGGGATTTATCGCTCCCCTTTGCCACTTGAATTTATGACTCCAGCGTAATTGTCTTGTTGATTGCTTGGATTTTCAAAGGATGTCTTACACTTGCCTTTGCTCGCGCACTTGTCGCACACACATTTCTTGACTTGTTTATTTGGAACTTAGCTTCACTGTAACCTTTTTACTGTCCGAATAATTTGAAATTTAGAAAAGAATAACTTTCGGGTAAAGAAGCACCGAATTTTCAACACATGCAATAGAAATTTGCCCTTGACGAAGACAATTTTCATACAAATTTCTCCATTGAGTTTTGCTGGAAGTATTTTGGAAATAATATAAATTACCGCAAAAAACGCTAAAAGTGTAATATATGATATAAATTTGAACTAGATAACTGTAAGAATGACGAAAATATTTTTTAGTTGTTGGCAGTTACACGCGGCGTTTTGAATTTTTAAATTCTACATAAAAAAAATTAAACTTTTTTTTAAGTATCAAGAGTTTAGGCTAATGTAACGATCTATCAGCTGTTTCTGATGACTGATTTTAAGTTAAGTTATATGATAATTGATTAAAGTGATTTGTGCTGTTGAAAAATCCCATATTTCGATAAATGAGATGGTAATTAAGGTCTGAACTTTTTTCGTTGGTATAACTGAATTTGTAAAAGTATTCATAATGTTTCATAATTTTCAATGTTAATTTATTCCCTCCTGGTTCTGTTGTTCGCTTAACGTCAGCTGACGTAAAAGTGGTGAACTGCAGTTTAATATATTTCTGTGCTTTTCATTTCCTTTCGCTAACCTTGATTCGAAAAAATAGCATCAGACGAATCGTTCTCTCGCCTTCTGGTCGACCGATATTGTCTGGGACCATTTAGCTAGCGCTCCTTCACTGACATCTCCCAAACCACTTGGAGGGTTTAGTTCTTGAGTCATTCACCCTTAGGGATCACTTCGCTGCCGATGGTTCGCTGAACCCTCGGAAAAGCTTGTTCTCCTTTCTCTCGGTCGGTTCAACTGTCACTTTAGTTAGCCCTCGGTTGGTCGTCGTCCAGTGAGATTGAAGCTGTACGGGTTTACTTCCTTCGAATCCGATGCAATTTTTGAATGTCTTTCTAGAACGTAACGTTCTTGTCTTGTAACGATTAATCTATCGAGGGTTAAAGTGCATGTATTCCGTAACTAGTTTAATAGAGAGAAAACATTCGTATGTTAGTAACAGAATTCGTTTTAATCAAAGTAATTGAAAAATAATAAGCATAATTTAATCAATTATTGGAAACGCCCTTGCAGAAGTTTTGACAGTCAGACTTAAACGCCCAAACATATTTTTGTACGTGAAGCACTTATTGTTAAGTTTATTTTTACTACTTTTATTTTTCTTGAAATCGTTTGCACCGACTTCTTCAATTACCTGACCGCCTAGTTCACGTTACTAAGATTCGCTTGATGGAAACAAAGTTTTTGTGTTCATATTCAATACAATTGTTTATGCCGGCCTGGCAAGTGACACCTTCGATGACCCAGGTTCGACAACCCGGCCAGCGTTGCCGAGACGCCCATACGACAACTCACATACAACTACTTAGTCTCCGTGAACGCCTGGCTGCTGCTCATGCCTGCTACCCTCTGCTGTGACTGGACTATGGGCACCGTGCCTCTTGTCACGTCATTCCTCGATCCCAGGTAAGTACGATCACTGCGACCTTAAATACGTGGTCGCGGGTATGATTTCTTTTCGGTCAAACAGCTTAATAATCGACTCGGCTCTGTGGTGGAATATTAGGGGAAAATGTCAATACCACCTGGTCGAGTTGTGATTTAAGTATTGGCTTAGGTATCATACGTATAACATGGCACCGAATATGTTATTCGATCCATTCTGCGTTACGTCTAAAGATTAATTATTAACGTTTAACACCCTGAGCAGTCTAATGAATTCAGTTCAGGAATAATTTGAAAGGAAAAATATAAAATTAACAGAAATTCTATTTGCTCCTCAGGAACCTGGCCACCCTCGCAACATACGCTGTCCTAGCCAAGCTGGCGCACCACGCCCTGTTCTGCGCGCCGCGTCATCATGCACAGGCTCTTCTAATGGTATTCTTCTTGACTGACATTCATTGAAAATGTTTTGAAAACCGTGTGGTTTGTGGTGAGCTGTTGGAATCCTTGTATACCGTCGAAAAATTGAACATTTGCGACTTAGGGTGAGCTGTTGGAATTATACTTATTTTTGTTAACTTGGACGTACGAGACTTGAGATGAGCAGTTTGAATCCTACTTAATTTCGAAAAATTCGCCACGTGTAAATTGTGGTGAGCTGCTGGAATCATACTTACTAGAACTTTTACGTGCGAGACTTGTGGTGAGTTATTGGAATCGTACTGACTTTCTGTAAACTGGAATTGCGTAATTTGTGATAAACCGTTGGAAATTTGACGTCTGAGACTTATAGTGAGTGAGATGTTAGCATCCTACTTGATTTTTAAAAAATTTACATGTATGACTTTTGGGAACTGTGGAGGGTAAGGCCTTGCTCGTATGATTTCAAGAGTAAAGGAATGTTGTTGACTAATTATGGTTTCCTTTTAACTGTGTATGATATGATGATACTTTTAGTGCATTACAAGAAATTAGATCAAGAAAACGCCTAGTTTTCTATTTCAATAAGTATATGTGGTATAAATCGTGCTTTATCTAGCATTTGACTTGAAAAAATTATTTCACTCTCAAGTCAAGGCTATTTATGTAAAGAAATGTGATTGTACGATTCGCAGTAATGATGCAGATTAAATTGTCATTATTATTATTATTATTGTTAGATTAGTAATTGTTATTATTTTTATTATTGTAATTCAATAGACTGGTATTTGTCCAACTTTTAGGGCTTGGGTTTCCTGGTGCTGCCGTTCCTGCCGGCATCGAACCTCTTCTTCCCCGTGGGGTTCGTGGTGGCAGAGCGTGTGCTGTACATGCCATCCATGGGCTTCTGCCTCATCATCGCGCATGGCTTCAGCAACCTTCTGCACCGAGTGTATGTTGAATATGTGTCGTGTTTTGTATGTATTACGTTGAATATGCCTAGTTTTTCATATATTATAATGTTGAATATGCATAGTGTTTTATATGCATTACGTTGAATACCTTTAGTGTAGTGAATGTATTGAGAAACCTCCACTTCACTCATCTCAGCGCTTCATTGATTGAGTTTCAAATTTCAAACTAAGTTAGGTTCATCTGTTTACGTATATACAGCCAACTGGATATAATTTAGTGTTCAGTTAAAAAGTGCACTTCTTGAAGACATTATTTTTGCAGGCAAGCATTTGGTTTTTATTCGAGCCGGATGGTTTTTATCAGTATAATTTGAAGGGTAAGTTGTGATGAATGAAGACGCTCGATGCTAGGCTTATCTCTGCGAAGGCTGGTCGGCCACACCGCGAGAGCCGCGCGTCAAGCGCCGGTGATCTGTCATGTGCTTCCCGGCCCTACACGCCCGCGCCTTGCCTGATACACGCCCGCGCCTTGCCTGATACACGCCCGCGCCTTGCCTGATACACGCCCGCGTCTTGCCTGATACACGCCCGCGCCTTGCCTGATGCAACACAACGCAACTGACACGCAATACCTTGCAGCTTTTGGCTGTAAGGTATTGCCGTTCTTAAGTTTGATTACCGAACAGCAGTCATTCACACATCCTGACTGACATTCAATACCTTTCATCTTTTGGCTTTTCTTTGTATGATCCATGCTTTTTCTTGCGTATGATACACCAAATACTGTTCACTTGGCATCATTGTTATCAGTTGAATAAATGTGTGACGTGAGTTGTGTATGCGCATTGCAGGTCACACAAGCGCAGTGCGTGGCTGGGTCTGCTGTTCCTGTTGTCAGTGCACGCCGTGAAGACTCATCTTCGCAACGCTGACTGGAAAGACGAGTACACCGTCTTCACAGCTGGACTCAAGGTGATTTATCATCACTGTTTGTTTATGAAATTTATCAGTTTAGTTATTTACTTACTGGCTTCTAGCTTTTGTCTCTGAATCTCTAAATTTTAGTTGCCATGCATTTAATAATCGTCCTCTCGTTACTTTAGGAGTTGCTTGATTAATTTTTTTGTAATTATTCCAGTACTTAGAATCAATGAAACGTTTCTAGGTCGAAAATTTTGGGTAATATTACAACGTCTCAATCGTCCTAACTAAAGTAAATTGTCTTACCCCATGGACATCAAATAAAGTTTGAATCCATTTAATAACGACCAGGTGAACCAGCGCAATGCGAAGCTCTTCAACAACGTTGGTCACGCCCTTGAGTCCGAGGGGCGCTTTGGCGAGGCCCTTGCGTACTTTCAGGCTGCGGTGACGGTGCAAGAGGACGACATCGGCGCCCACATCAACGTCGGCCGAACATTCAACAACCTCAAGCGGTACATCGACGCTGAGGACGCCTATCTCAAGGTAAGCTAAGAGCCCTGTTGTTATTTCTTAACATATCAATAATTTTACGGCGTCATAAATTCATTGGCGCGGCGACAAAATTTTGATCGACGTTTCGCCCTCAGCATCCGCCGCGGCCAAGGTCAACTGCATTAAGCGGTACATTTAATATACTTCGAGGAATCCTATCTAAAGGTGTGCCCTGTTATCCGCTTGTGCCGTTGATCACGTTTCTATGATTCCGCTAAGTTATTAGCTATGCAAAATAAAATTAGATCGACATTACACCCGCATTATCTGCCGAGGACAACTGCTTGTATCGGTACGGCGACGTCAGAGACGCCTATCTCTAAGTATATTGCAAGGAACGCTTTTATCCTACTACAACGTAACGCATCGATAAGATATCGCTAGGTCCTATGCTGTACATATAAATTGTTGAGCCAAATTACATTCGTGCTACCACGTACCACAAGTGACGCTAATGAGGCAAGCTACGGAAAAGCATCATGTAACATTACTCGTATTTTTACTTTCATGCGAAAAATTAGTGCAAATAACGGCTCAACTGTACTTTGTTTTTATATTTTATGTATTTTTTTATATTTAATTAAAATATTAATACTCCCGGTCTCAGGCGAAATCACTGCTGCCTAAAGCGAAGCCTGGCGAGAGCTACCAGGCACGCATAGCCCCCAACCACCTGAACGTCTTTCTGAACCTCGCCAACCTCATCGCCCGCAACAGCACGAGGCTCGAGGAGGCCGACTCCCTCTACAGGCAGGCTATCAGCATGCGCGCCGACTACACCCAGGCCTACATCAATCGCGGCGACATACTCATCAAGATGAATAGGTGAGTACACATGCGGGAACTCATCAAGATGAATAGGTGAGTACACTGGCAGGAACTCATCAAGATGAATAGGTGATTACAGATGCGAGAACTCATCAAGATGAATAGGTGAGTACACATGCGGGAACTCATTAAGATGAATAGGTGAGTACAGATGCGAGAACTCAAAAAGATTAATAGGTGAGTACACAGCCATTAACTTAAGATGAATGGCTGAGTACCCAATAAGGACACATTTACCAAGATAAATAGGTGAATACCGGTACGTTGGTAGAAACTAAAAATGATCAAATGAGTGCACACTTCGGAATTCATCAAGATGGAACGGTCGGCACGTGACGTGGCGCATCTGTTTATTTATACGTGTGATCTACTCTTTATGATGATTTACTGAATAAATCGTCTGTCATACACCATGATGAACAGCGCTTTCCGCGTGTCTTCGGCGTGTCGACACACTGAAAGGTGAGGACTCGGTTAGCATAAATCGCTTAGGCAAGTTTGACTGCCATCGTTAAAATTTTAAAGCCATTTAATGCCTGTAGCTTAGCTTTTGGGAAAATGAGTGCTTCATATGTATACATTTTTGTATGACCATTACGTCGTTATGTTGTATGTGTATACACTTACGAATATAGTTGCGGTGCTCTTCTCGATTCCACAATATTTAAGCATCTCCTGGTTTCATTTTACCTTCGTCTCTTTCATTGCTAAGTAATTTAAATGACAGCTTTGTGGTTGCTTCATCCATGTGTAGCCTCAATTTTAGCTTTATTTCTTATAGTAAGTGTCCGGTTTACCCAAATTGTAGGTTATTATTAGCGTCTGTTTTAGCCCTATTGCAGCCTATTGTTAGTGTCGAGTTCAGCAATATTGTTGCTTATTGCTTCTGTCAGCGATATTGTAGTCTATGGTTGGTGTCGGTTATAGCCTTATTGTAGCCTATTTTTAGTGTGGTTTTAGCAATATTGTAGTCTAATCTTGGTGTCGGTTTTATTCATATCCTGTTGTAGCTTATTGTTAACGACGGGTTTGGGTATATTATAGCTTTATTATAAGTTTATTTTAGTTTTCGTGCGCGAGTTCTTGAAGGCCGTCCTGTCTGGCGCTCATCCCACGAGACGTAATGGGAGACTCCTCCTCCAGCTACAGCAGAAACCAAGATAACGACGCTTTGGTCCATTGGTTGCCCCGCAGATAAGGCTTCATTTACGAGTGATTTACTAATGGCTGTTATAGCATTATAACCCCTACGCCATTCAACACTGCCGCCATGACACTTCTAACTCATACGCTGGAGTAACGCGCTCGTGAAAAGCTATAAAAAATTGGTCTCGTTTATGAAAAATGAAATGATCAATCGTCCGCGATTTTTACACTACGCTTTTTCTTCAGAATGAATCGCGTACAAGGAACTGCCGGTGAGAGGCGACCTGCTTGCGATTTTCTTGAGCTATTTATGTCAAAAGAAGGCCTCGGTGAACTCTGCTCACTACTGCTTATTATCATCAAAATTCTTCAAAATTTCATAAAATCTAAAGATATTATGGCTCTTGTCGTCAAAACATTAGTTAATTTCCTAATTTTTCCTTGAAAAGCAAGCTAAGAGGCTTTCAAATATCGCAGTTTTCAAGTTTTAAATTTTCCGCCGTGAACGATGAAAAGTCTCAAACAAATAAGGCCTCGATTTTTGGTATTCTTACTCGTGCTTTCACTTATTTACATTATTTACGAAAACTTTAACGCGAATAACTTCTATAAGTTAGTTTGAATGGGAAACCATAATATATTTTCCTAGAAAACTTCACAAGGTAGAGGCTTTCTAATGATGAGCGAACGAACTCCTGAAGATATAAAAGGCCCTGTGTTGACCTATATTTCTCTAATTTTTAGTGTTGGTGCTTGTCGCACTGCAAACTTATATGATCTTTTCCATGCTCTAGCAGTGATATATGAGGGCACAGTTGATGATCGAACCGTCTGGTAAAACGTACTGTTTCTGCTGTCGGAATTTTCGTTCTATCATTTCTGCGCGAATTTATCTTCTTTGTATTTATTCTACATTAAGCATTCGTTATTTGAATGATTTCAATGCAATTTTTTCTGATAATGTTGATTGGAATAAGTAAATTGTTAATGTTCAAGTTTCAGAAATTATATGGCACCCTATTAACTGGCTATGTTTTCTTATCCATAGCATCAGTAAAATAACGGAACCATATATAGTTTCCCTTCTCTCTCTAATAGCTGCCTTTAGTTGCAACTGCCTTGCTCAATGAATTTAACAGCTAGTAATTACGGGCAGAAAGCAGCTGTACTTGAAGCACTTGATAATTTTGCAAATAAAAAATTAAACTAATTGCTTTAAGAGCCGCTCCTGCAATATTGTCAGAAGTAATTGCAACCATTTCAACAAAATCAATTTCAGCCGACGAGTTAAAAACAGCAGCAATAGGCAGCCATACGCCCGTACCATTCATCTGCGATGTCATTGAAAGAACTTGCAAATAGAAAGCATTGCGCGGACTAGGCCGGCGTCTGTCTCATCGATTACTCGCGCGCGGTCTGATCTCATCATGGGATGAAATATTACGAGTAGACGGCGTCTCGTGGAGCCAACAAGTGGTCCGGTCAGTGCCACAGGCATCGCCTGCTCTGACACTCGCGTCATTATCACACGTGGAAAAATGAGGACACGACCAAGCGCTTTGCATATGGCACAGATACACCTTGTTTTAACCAGCTAAAATTCTTACGGTTCTGCCGGTATATCTTTCGTTAGCGTTTTGCCACATAATGAGTAGATTCAAAATCATTATTTGATCAAGAACGCCCGAACGTCGCGTTGCCAGCGATGATCCACATGTGTTTTCAAAAATGGAAGATCATAGATGAACGATAGTCTGGGCATCATGAAAAATCTCACCCAATCTTCGATGCTTGTTGCGATTTTCAATTACCTGAATCATCAATTACCTGTTATTGCTGAAATACAGCTTTTTTGGCTTTGATCCATTTGCCTGTTGTTGCATTCAATGCTTTAATCATCTGAATCGAAGGCATTTGTCGGTCCACCATCTGTCTTTGAATGGTAAACAAAAGGATTTTCAAAAGACGGATGGTGGGTTCTGAACTGCATGTGTTCTGCGAGCATATCGTGATGCGGATCTCAGGCTTTATAGAGATCTTGTGATGTGCTTTTAGATGAAAAGTTGGACCTGCAGCGTCCACTCTGTCTGGGCTGACTGAGCTGCATCCTTCCACTCTGTGTGGGCAGCGAATGTGCTGCAGCCTTATTCCACTCTGGGCCTGAGCAGCAGGCTATTACTTCGTATAAGCGGCATTGAGCTGCAAGATAGCAACATCAATCTTTGATAATAACGGCACTACACCAATTCCTGATGTCGCTTTTCTATCAGCAAATCCTGGATTAATTAATACCTTCAAAAAGTTTTAGTTCTGAGCAAAACTATTATACTGATTTTGCAAATGCATTTCTCCTGAAGCAGTGTATTTTGTGTTCTATTATATATTACGTTGATCAAAAAATGATTGGCACAATATACCTAAGTTGGCTCTCTTAAAAGTAAAGCTTTTGTGGTACATTTGGTCTCTACATACCTGAAAATCGGTCGTTTGGATTGAAAGCGTAATGTCATGCATCGTGCATGACATCGTCTGAAAAATTTATAGTAGAAATCCTGGAGTTTTATGATTACGTTTCTGTCACGAAATATTATCTTTCTTGCAACGAATTTTACGAAATATTTACGAAACGAACGAAAATATTATCATTTTACAACGAACTATTAGCTCATAGAGTTATCTCATAGTACAACATTATTTGATAACGTAATCATGGTCTTTAGGAATCGCTTGGAATTTCCTTATTAATGGTCAAATTTTTTTCTGATTCTACATGTCAAATATCGAAGCATTCATTATACATACCAGCAAAGAAAACTGTTCTGAGATCATTTTGTGTGAGTAAAACAGCATTTTTAATGCCGATTTATAGACTGGATTTGTTTTTTTTTTTTTTGCTGAAACACACTCACAATGCGTGGGATATTTGACAAGATCTATTCTGCATGTGACTATCGGATGGCCGTCTATAAATAGCCTATAATTATTTATTTGAAGGCAGATAATTCTGCCAACTAAATTTATGGTATTTTCTGTGAAAACATGAACAAAAAAACTTGTCGAGTTCTTTCTATTTGCGTTCTTGGTTAATTTGTTATTTTCGCAAACTAATGCCACGATATTAAAACCCGCTTATAATTTTTATTGATATATAGCGTTGTCTGCTGGCTACACCGGTCGTGTTCGTTCGTCATCGCTGCTGCCATGCTCTTCAATGCTGAGCCATGACGGAACTTTTTCCAAAGTTGAACAAAGAAGGTTGTTCGATGACGGGGGTGTGGGGATGTGGGGGGCAGTGAGCTGCTGCCTCCCGCCGTGCTCCCGAGATGTTGCTCCATGGGGGATCTCATCCCCTGAACCCCCACTCCACTCCTCTTGTCGCACTCCCCCTTCTCGTCGCGTCTCTTCCTCCTTTCACCTCTGTTTGCGACTCTACCGTGTCTCTTCTTTCTTTATTTATTTTATTTTCCTCTTCACTTTACTGGTTTCGCGCTTCTCAGGCCCAGTATTGTCCCTCTCTCTCTCCTCAGTCCTTCTAATTCAACTATGATTATGTTTACTTGGCAACGATTATACTAACGTCAAAATGATGTGATATCACGCAATTCCAGGTCCAAATGTAATTCTGAAGCAGATTTCTATTCCTTAACAAAATAGTGACACATGATGCAGTAGTATTAAGATGAGATAACTGCATTTATTTGCTTGCTCATGAAAAACTCGTTCGCGCCCGGCAGCGTTTTCATTTTCTGCACTGGTATGTTTATGTATGACGGCTCTTGTTGTAATGTGGCCTTGACCTTCAATGTTTTGCGCCTCAACGTTTTGCGTCTATACGGCATTTTTTAATATAT